GACTTCTTTCTGGTATGGCTCAGTTTATTTCACAAAGTCAATTCTGATTTTGTGATGAAGCCTGGAAGAAACTAAATTCTAAACCAGCAGTTTTCTAAGTGTGAGACACGCCTCCCCTGGGGGGTACCAGAGGATTTCAGGGGAGGCGCAGCATGAGAAGAAATAACTGTAAACATCAAACTTCAGTTTGGCTATTTGTGAGGCAAAATGGATCGGTTAGTCGTACTTCAGTGAGAGGACAGAGTCTGGGGCGAGCAGAAAACGAAGTATGGCAATAAATATTGAAAGTTTGGATTTTCATGGACTGGTCCTGATGTTGCTCCACGGCCACAGTGCTATTTGCAAAGTGGTGCTCGCTGATGACAGAAGGAGACCATGTAAACAAGGCTGGTGATCAGGACACGGGCGTTTTTTGATAGGAGACTAGAGGATTCGCTGTCAGAAGAAAGTAACTGAGACACTGGCACTATGAACACCAAGCCAGCCGAAGCATCACATCGTGGTGTGTTACACGTAGCTAAGGCAGCTACATGGAATACGAATGATGCTGAGACAGCGATATGAAAAGCAGCGCTGTGCACGGTGACGATTTGGTTTGGTGGCTACTGAGTTTGATGTGTTCAGAAATGATCTGACATGAGTAAAACTGCACAAATAGGTCATACAATGTGTAGGAGCCAAGAAGGTATTTTGGTTTTATGAGTGTCACACAGCCACTAACATTGGTTTGTGTGCGGCGCGCACACACACACACACACACACAAACTTCTGGGAAACACATCCAGATGAGTGGAAGAATCCTGTGTCCTTACTTGACAAGACGTCCTGCTGGTCTCCTCTTCTCCTTGTGGAGGTGTCCATCTGCACAGAGCCTTCAGCTGAGATACCAACCACGACCTCACGCCTTTGTCGCTGAATGGAGAAAAGCAGCACAAGGGCAGAACTGGACAAGGGGTTCACTTTCTGCAGGAAGGTGCCAGTATCATATTTGTAACTTTTACAAACTCTGAGTGACTTGTTGTCTGCAGCTTATATCCGATTGAACTCAATGCACAATTTAAAGCCGGTGCTTACCACGTCCACAGAGGGGTACTGTAACGACGACAGTCTAAATTTTATAATCACCTACATATAAAAACAAACTGTAAACTATAATCACTGTTAAATATACTTAACATTCCAAGCACTGAACAACTGCACATAAAACCAAGCTTTATGAATTTTCATGGTCTAAAACTACCACACATTTGCCAAATTTCAGCAACGAGACTTGTTTTCACACATTGAGGGAAAGTTCTTGTTCTGGTCACTTCTTGTGTTATTTACCCCTGGATGCTCTAGATTCGCCCCACAGCAGCTGATTGCCCTGATGCCCTAACAAACACAACCAACACAGACATACAGTCATGGCTATCAGTGGACCCCTGGGTCTCCTACCATAGCGTCCCTCGTCATTCAGATGGTGACAGATAGTGTGAGCTGACACTGTTGCACCCTTTATCCACCTTTGTTACAATCTGTCATCTATTTGTCTCTTTTGTCCATGTCCAAGCTACAACACCATGGGGTGTAAACGTCGTGCACAGTGGAGACAGGAACAGCCAGATCTCTGGACATGGACTTGGAGCTTTGAGACTGTCCAGGCTTTTCCACTATTGTGGTTCTCACATCCTCAGCCAATTCTTTGCTCTTCTTTCTTTTCTCCATGCTCAGTGTGGTTTACACCACACAAAGGTTGAGTCAACTTTGCTCCAGTTTAACTGGTTGAAAGTGTGATTTCTATGTTGCCAGAACCTGTTGGTTGCTACAGGTGAGTTTCATTACAAATTAAAGGAGCATCACATGTTGCAGATACAACGATTTCTGATGAATTTATAAAGGTGTCAATAATTCTGTCCAGTCAATGTTGGGAGTTCTGTGGGATGCATCAGATGTGACTTTTTTTCTCTGCTTTTTGTGTTGTTCCAATGCAAACAGAAGAAATAAACACGAGAACACCAAAGAATTTGTGACTGCAAAACATTTCTGGGAGAAGTGGTGCGTTATCTGACAGAGATGAAGGGGTGACAATAGTTTTGGACACGACTAAGTGGAAAAACACGAATATTTCCTACCTCTGTAAAACATATTTCAGTGTGAGGATGCTGTAAATGTGAAGATGGTACACCACCTCCAACTTGGGCAGCCTCTGAAAAACACCACATCCTACATTTCATTTTCTGCAGCCATTCTGTTGTGTAGTATCAATTCTACATTCATTCTGTTTTGTTTTGACTCACCTGTATAGAGATCAGACTTTCAACTAAATGAAACGTCATGAGTAGTAAACATCTTCCTGAGCCTCATGCACAGTGTATGAACATGATTAAATATAATCAGGAACAGAATTATGTTTATTAGTCAAGCACATTAAAACACAAGGAATTGTTTCTGGTACAGAGGCTCTCAATGTGCTTGTAAGTCAACAAGAAAAACAGGAAATTACACCGGCCACTTTATTACATTATACTTAGAGGTGTCCGTCTTTTTGTCCTCCCCAACCACACACACGAGAGGGTCATAATATTAGGAACACCTAATAAAGTGGCTTGTGAGTGTATGTGCATTTAAAGTAGAAAGAGAATAGGTGAAAAGAAAACAACATGTAAACACACACACACACACACACACACACATACACATACACACACACCTGATCTCTCCTATACTCCTGCCAGAGCAGTTTTGGACAGAGGGCCCCTTGTGAAAGCAGCTCTTTGCTGGACTCCAGCAGGGCACACAGTTGGACCTGTGGAGGACAGCAATGGGACTTAGAGCTTACACATCACATGCTTTCTGCACTTTGAACAAAAATCCTGCAGTAAAGAAAGACAAACACAGGGTGAAGATGTCTGTGACTGCAGCTGAACAATCTGCCGACAGCCCTGCAGGACAGACATCCTTTTCATACTCG